GATGGACCAGAGATTCCTTCGTCTTTTAAGATAGTAATCAATGCTTCGTAGATTATTATGAACGGCTTTTATCTAATGATCAAACTTAATTTAATAATATTCCAGTGTTTCGTTAAGTTTCTGTTTTCACATCAGTTCCTATTCTGTAAAGAGCATTACAGTAAAGGGAGGGATGCACTTACAGAGAACAGCCATTCACTAAAGTGGCGCGGCTTAGCGTACGTATTAGAAAATGATTGGCTGTCATCGCTGGTGTATTTGCATATGGTAATTACAGCATTCCGATTGGCCTACAGTGCCAATGTGGGCTGTAACCTGCGTCAGTATTTCACGTTTTACCATTATGAGGTCGCTGAAGAGAATATAAGTCTTACGCATACACAGTTTAGTTTACTTGTATCCACTTAGCCTGAGATATACTGCTTTTGTGCATTGACCCAACTTCTATGTTGAAAGGTAATTTTCTGCTATCTAGCGTTTTATCTAATTTCGTTCTTTTTGCTAATGTTATCCCATGTAAGGCATTTTTTTCTCTGTTTACAATGGAATGAAACCTGAGCGTAAGACATAGTATACAATTTTCAATTTTTTACATACAGTTTAAAAAAGAGAGAGAGAATGGATTAAGTATCAATTGCATGGCATGAAAGCATTTTAAAATGTCTAAAATAATAATCTGCTCTGCTAGAAGTTGAAGTCACACTACACTTTTCGTTCTATTGATTTCAATCCTTAAGCCAGCGAATGCGGGCGAGCGAGAACAAGCTGCGTTCAAAAAGTTCAGGATTGGTGAACTCTAATTCAAGGATTTGATTACCTTTTTAAGAGTGACATTTAAGAGTAACAGTCTAAAGCCTAAAACTCTTTAAATACAAGTCTAATGTGACGGTGGTCAGTGATTTTAAAAGATGAGCACAGCACCAATACTCTTAATATTATTTCATTAACTAATTTTTATTAATATATTGCAATTTTATTTTTTGTATTATCATGAAATTCTCATATTATTAAATATATTTGTGCGTTTTTATAACACATTTTATTATTATTATTATTGGCTTAATGCCTACAATTGTAAAATTACAAATGTCAACAGGATGTTGCACGTGACCACTCTTACACTATTTCATATGCGAGTGTGATTTGATATCTTCAGATGACGCTCTGGAACCAGCTGCAGCTGCTGGACTCTCTGTATTTAGAGCAAGTGGACCAGCTTTACGATGAGGCTTTTCCTATGGAGATCCGACAGTATCTCAGTCAATGGATTGAGAGTCATGACTGGTGAGAATTTTTTTATTTATTTATTGTTTAATTTTTAATTTAATTATTTAATTTAATAATGTATTATCCAGTTGCACATTTGAATTTATGCATCATGAATTGCTGCAAAGCATCACATCTTTGACACATTATTGTTGGTTGCAGGGAATCCGTCGCGAGTAATGTATCTTTGGCAACCCTGCGCTTCCATGAACTCCTGAACCAACTGGATGAGCACTACAGCCGTCTCAACCTAGGGAACAACTTCCTTTTACAGCATAATATACGCAAAATTAAGCGTAACCTACAGGTGCACTTTTTTATATTGTTTTTCTAACTATGTTACATTCAATATACATTAAAGGGGTCATATGATGCGATTTCAATTTTTCCTTTCTCTTTGGAGTGCTACAAGCTCTTGGTGCATATGTCGCTCCGGCTGGGACACAGCTCTTGACACGCACACAATGCACTGGATAGCTGGCCAATCACAGCACACTTCGCTTTTCAGACCGATGAGCTTTGTAAAAATCAACGCGTTTCAGAAAGGCGGGGCATAGAGGAGAAACAATAATGTACAGTATGTGGAAAATAATGTGTTTTTTGAACCGCATAAACACATTTCATTTCATTACACCAAATACACCAAATAAAACATCATATGACCCCTTTAATATCCTTGATTTCATTATTCTAAAATAAAATGGCAGAGCTAATGGAAATAATTGTCTCCCATTAGGAGCACTTCCAGGAGGATCCTGTTCACATGGCCATGATCATAGCTAGCACTCTGAATGAAGAGAGAAAGATACTGGAAACTGCACTTCGTGCTCAAGTAAGGCTTTAATCTTTAGTCATTTCAAACCTGCACATGTGTTTATTATTTATCTTAGTAATTTTGCTTTTAGGATAAAGGTGGCTCATCACAGGGGAGTATCATGATGGAACAGCAAAATGAGTTGGGCAATAAAGTCAACAATTTGAAAACGAGTGTGCAGGTAAACCATCTCAGTGAATAATGATAAGGTTTTGGAGCTCATATTGAATCATTTTGGGTCTTTACCACAAAAACGCTTTAAATGACACAGATTTCTTTAAACCTTACAAGTAACTACAATGTTTCAAACAGCTGCAATTGTGGAATATTTATTTGCTTCTAGGAAATTGAACAGGACATTCAGGTTCTGGAGGATGCGCAAGATGAATATGACTTCAAGAGAAATACTTTGCAGAGTCGAGGTAACATACATTTTTAGCATTTTGCTCCTGGTATTAACTCATATTTTGTGATATCTGTACTTGGTTTGATCAATATTGTGGTTTTTAAAGAGTCATATGTGAACATTAATGTTGTGAATTTACATGAATGAGAAATGGTATGGATTTGTATTTTTATATTTTCAGTGGAAGCTGAAATGAATGGCCAGATAACAAAAGAGATCCAGCAGGAGGAAATGGCACTTAGACAAATGTTTGTTGGGCTGACCATGAAAAGAGAGGTAGGTCAAGAGTTCAGTAATGCACCTCTTTGAATATTCACATCTAGGAATCATGAAACAGAAGTTTTGTGATAGTCTTTTCTTTTCTGTTGTGACGATTAATCGAAGCCTCCAAGGTTAACACAAAAAAAGTGTAACACAAGATTTTTTTTTAATGGCTGTCAATAAAAGAGTGGCTTCACTATGTTGAATAAATTGCTTTGTGGGAGAACAGCTTATCAAACAGCTAATCTCCAACATGTTTGGCATGTAACATTCATTTTGGATTGATCTGATTTTAGAGCTTACACCAATAAAAAGTGATGTCGCATAAAAAACTTTGCGACAGGTAGGATTCAGTTCATGGTATTTCTCAATCATTTCTGTGGTGTGTGCAAAAACCGACTGACTGTCGCACAACTTTGATGACTTCAAGGCTGTAATGTGATTGGTTATAAAGTTGTTGTTATGCTTTCTCCAATGGTAGATCCGCGGACTTTGATATCTCTCAATAATAAGACCATCTCTGGCTTCTCAAACAAGAACAGATGTAGAGTGGCACTTGATTTTGTCCATCGGTAATTGATTGGATGGTTTGATCGTTCATTTTGCGTGTAATCAGAGAACAGAGATGTCATTATAAGAGGGAGTGAAAGTTATTTTGATTAAAGATTACAAGGGCACATGCATATGAAAAAAAAGGCAGTGTTGATTTCAAGGTGACTTTAATGTTGCAGTTTTTTTCAGTATCAT